TTTCCAGCTTTGTGACTTGCCTGGGGCTGAGGGAATAATCCCTTATCTCCAGGATCGGGCTGTTCCCCTAGAGCCTTTTGGCTGCTGTTGGGTGGCAGCAGCTTCACAGGGTGTTGGGACCCCCCTGCTCTAAAGGCTCTTGGCATGGCTGTTCCTGTGGCTCCTTGGGAACTGATTTTGGGGGGAAAATCTCCAGTTTGGGCTCCTCTGAAGGGTTTTTTTTCTGATAGCACAGCTCAAAGCTGAAAAAGTAGCTTTGGAGAAGCATTGTCCTTGAGGAAAAACACAACCAGCCACCCCTCTGACCATGATTGTGCACACAAGAATATGTGGTTGTGTGGTTATGGAGTCACAGAATCCTGGGATGGTTTGGGTTGAAAAGGACCTTAAATCCCATCTCATTCCACGCCCTGCCATGGGCAGGGACACCTTCCACCAGATTGCTCTAAGCCCCATCCAACCTGGCCTTGAACACTTCCAGTCATGAGCATCCACAGTGTTTCTGGTCTGATCCAATGGAGTTGAGCTGGGAATCTCCCAAACTCTACTTTGACAGTTTGGACAGGTTCATTTTTGTGGCCTGAAATGAAACAAGACAGAGAAACTTGTGTTGGAAAATCTATTGGAGACAACAGGAATGAGGGTGTTCAGCTGCAATAGGATGTCTGGGAACTCTCTCTGTAAATAACGATGGAATTGGTGCCCTGAGGCTATGAAAGTATTTTGGTCTGGATAAAACTTGAAGCTAAATGGTGACAAAGAAATAACATTCCAAAGGGGAGTGGGGCTCTAGTAGGCAGTGGGGTTTTTTTGTGGTTTATTTTTTTTAAAGATGAATTATTTAAATATACAGTAGCTCTGCATATAAAAGCTGCTGCAGTGTTCAGAAAAAGGCTTTGTGAAACAGTAACTAGCAATAAAAAATAGCGATCTGTGTGCCACTCAGATATATTAAACTGGTGGCACTGAGGTCAGGAAAGAGGGAGATGGAAAAGAAAAATTTCATGTTGCAGTAAATATATATATATATATATAAAATAAGGGTATATGTGATGCTATTCAGATTGTGCTTGTTTCAGTCGGCAAAGCCGGGTCTGCCCATGATAAATTAGCTTGTTTATTCCTACCCTGCAGTCGTTAGGGTAATGAAGCAGAAGCCCTTTGTGTGTGCTCGCTGGGAAGTGCTGGCTGGCGCGGAAGGGGGTAATTGAGTAGAAAAGCAGAATGCTCCCGGGGCCGGGAGAAGTTAAATCCCCCCGAGGTCAGGGGGATTCAGGCTTTAATCAATGTGGACACAATGCAATTGAGAGTTTCCAAAGGGCTTGTTTATGGGGCGGGAGCAAGGGTCGGTGGTTAATGGAAGTGCTGGAGGTGCTCGGGATGAGAAGGTGCAAAATGTGGATCACAGAGGTGTGGGCTGGGGGGGGGGACATTTGCGTGTAACTTGTGTGCAGGAGGAAGGAATTATTTGAGGCCTCATCACAGGAGCTTTTGGGGGAGCTACTTAATTATTCAAATTAAAATACTGAGTGATGGTGGCTCTTACCCAATTGTAGGGGTATGTAATACTCTAAAACAAAAAGGCTGAAAAATTGAGCTCATTTATAGACATTTTTTCTCTAAAGATTTAAGTCTAGAACTAGAGAAACAGTGTGTGTTTTTTTTTGTTTTGTTTGTTTGTTTTTTGTGGGGTTTTTGGTTGGTTTTTTTTTTTTTTTTTTTTTTTTGCTCCTGAGTTAAGACCCTTGGGTCTTGTTTTCTGGTGACCTGGTGGGATCAGACCCTGAGTGCCCTCCTCTGACCTCCTGGCTGAATGAAAAATATGAAGTTCTGTGCAGGAGTTGCTTTAGTCTGTGAGACACTGCTCAGGTGGCTCTGACAGTCCATCAAAGCCCTCCCCTGGGCAGTGGTGGCCACACTGCTGAAGGTGTCTGGCTTTCCAGGTATTCCCTGGCTAAAACCACCACACGGAGCAGCATGATCAGCTGTGCCCCTGGAATTTGGGATATCCTGGGGCTTCTCCAGTGAGCAGAGCAATTCTATATGCTCTGCTGGAGACGATGCAGAGAGAGCTGCCCCGTTTCCCAGCAGCACATGCTGGTTGCCTCATACCTTTAAGACAAATGTGTTTATACCATCCATGCTGGAGGGGGAAGCTGTTCTTTCTCAGGAAAGGGGTTCTTTCTCAGGAACTGTAGTGATAGGGCAAGGAGTAATGGGCTTAAACTGAAAGAGGGGACATTTAGGTCAGATATATTGGGAGGAAATTCCTCCCTGTGAGGGTGGTGAGGCCCTGGCACAGGTTGCCCAGAGAAGCTGTGGCTGCCCTGTCCCTGGAAGTGTCCAAGGCCAGGTTGGATGGGGCTTGGAGCAACCTGGGATAGTGGAAGGTGTCCCTGCCCATGGCAGGGGGTAGAAAGAGATGGGATTTAAGAACCCTCCCGACCCAAACCATTCCAAACCTCTGGCAGTCCTGGCAGGTCCAGCAGCCTCCTGCCTACAGCTTTTGGCATCTGGCACTGCTGGTATTGAACACCTTGGCATGAGGGGTCTCTGCCCCATGGCTGCTCCTGCCCTCTGGAGCCAGGACTCTTTCCTGGGGTCTCCCTGGGCAGCCCCAGCCCTGGCTCGAAGGGCTGGTTCCCGGAGAGCTGCGCTCCTGACTGGCATCTCCCAAACCTCTGTGGTGGCAGCCCTGCTCCTCGGTTACTTCAAGTGGTACCTGCATTCCCACAGCGAGCAGCTGGAACACGGGCTGAGGCTTCTCCACTGTATTATGCACCAAGAGCTATTTAATTATTTACAGGCTAACATATATCATGGAATACATGGAGCCTCCCCCAGCCAAAGGCAGCAGGGCTGGGAGCAGCCGCCTTGGCACCGCTGCGCAGCCCAAATCCCTCGGTGCGAGCTTTGTTTTGCATAGCACTTTGTAATACTGTTAGTTGACTTGGCTGCAGCTTCACAAAGCATTTTTTTCCACTTGGTTCAACACTCACTCGAATTTAATGGGACAGGAGCCAAATCAGTGATGGAAGCCAAGTGCCGACGTTTGTTTGGTGCGCAGTTCCTGATGAGGAATATATATAGTAATTGTCTCTTGCTCCTCAAAGCTGTAACTTTGGCAGAGGGGAGGCTGGAGGGAGCATGCCAAGTGTTTAAAATCATAATCAGGCAGTGATGAAAACATGTATTTATGACTATAATGAGTTGCATCAAAGCAAGAAACATTCGGCTTCTCTGTAGAAGGAACGATGTCTCTTAATTCAGAAATACCTACTTCGAAATCACACAGAATCTATCAGAGCTGAAAAGCTTGGCTGGAATGTCTGCCTTATTTCACAACAAGATTCCTGATATTCCCTTCCAGCTGCAGTTTTAGCAGTGGTTGCTGTGTTCTGCATCGAGGCACAATGAAGGAATCAACATTTATTGCAGTGTTTTATGCACTATGGGTACGTCACAAAAGTGTTCTGTTACCCTGGACTTTAGCTTGATTTTTTTTTTGTTTGTTGAATGCTTTGTTATATTCTATTTTATTCTATTTTGCTGTTTCCTTCTGACATCTCAATAACTTGGCTGGGGGGCTGTTTTGATGTATGAGCATTATGTGGTTCCTGGGGGACCACTGGATGCAGCGAGAGCTTGAGATGCAGCACTGCAATGTATACACTGTGGGTTGAGATCAAGAGCAGGTAGGAATGGGATAATTTAGGTTGGATTCCACAAGTATTCATGTAATCCTTTAGTTTGGAAAAGCACTCCAAGGTTGTTGAGCTCAACCATTAACCCAGCAATGCAAATCCCCTTGAGCCCACCCTTGTGTGGCATCACTGCGACTTTGCAGTTGAAACAGACTCAGTGCTGTCAAAAAATGGAAAAAATGCAGTTTATAAACAAGGCTTTTGAATAACTTCCTGCAGCCCTCACTGAGTCACCTCCCTACCATGGGAAGGAGTGCGGATGTCACCGTGTGACGAGGTGGCACTTGGGGAAGGTGCTCCACAGGGTTCCTGGCTGGGATCCCAACCAGCTCCAGAGCTGCTGGGATGATCTTGCTGTGTCCAAATTACACAGGAGCCAGGGCTGAATCATCTGGATGTAGCAGCACATGCGAGGCTGGGAACCTGGGGCCAGGAACCCGGGGCTGGGGGGTGGGAGGGCGATGCTCAGCTTGGGGATGTTTTTCTCATTTGAATATTGGAGGTTTTTAGTGGGCTGAGTTTTTTGGTGGGCTTGGGAAGTCCTGGACCATCTGTCAGAACCTGGATGGTGACAACATGAAAATCACATTCTGCAGGAGCTCCTGGCCTGGGCACCTTCTCCCCAGTTTCACATGAGCACCGTGATGTCCTTTTTCTGAGGACTTTGACATCAAGTATCTCTTATTCTATACATCTGAACGTCCCTTATTCTGTGTGCTGCTTCTCTTTTAATCCATAGTTTAGAGACACTCTAATGCTTATCACTCACATTAGAGCATGTTTTACTTTACTAGGTTAAATTTGCACCTAATTTTTGGAATTTCAAGCCTGGCTTTCATTTTAAAAAGAGCTGAACTTTTGGGAGGGAGGGGGGTTAATAAATTTCACTTCACAACTTTGTATTACAGAGGATTAGTTTATCCATCTGGGTTTATCTGGGCACATGCTTTGCCTGTGGATTTGCTTGAGTGAGCACATGGGAAGGGTGTTTGCATAGGAAAAGCTTTCAGTAACACAGGATGATTTTGGGTGATGAGGTATCTGGGACTGAACTGGCAGATACTGGCTCTTCAGCTAATCCTCATCTGATCCCACTACAAAGTCAGTAACACGTCTGTAGATGTAATAACCTTAATTACTTGACTGTGAGATCAAGGAGCTGTGAAGGAGCAGCATTGGGTGCATTTGTTTTAAATTGCCTTCAAAGAGTTGAATGGGGAGCTGTGTATTTTGATGGGGAAACCACTGTCTAAGATATCTGAAGATGCTACAGATGCAGTTCTCTTCCCTTCACAGCTCCCAGCCCCACTACAGCTGTTCCTTACATGTCAGTGAAGTGCATTGACGTAAGGAAGAACCACCACAAAACCAAGTGGCTGATGCCCTGGGGACCCAACCACTGCAAGAAGCTGAAGGACTTTGATGAGGCGGTGAGTCGGCAGATCGAGGCCAACGACATCGTGTTTGCTGTGCATGTCCCGCTGCCCACCAAGGAGATGAGCCCATGGTTCCAGTTCATGCTCTTCATCATGCAGCTGGACATCGCCTTCAAGATGGACAATGACCTGAGTGAGTGGCTCTGTCCCCTGGGGTCTCATTTCCCATAGTGTTTCCCTTAAAGCTGCTTTTACCTTGGGCCACGTGTTGGCTGCTGGTGTCCTGCACAGTGAGGTAGTGCAGGAATGTTCTGAAGGTGGGAATAATAATCATGGAATGGTTTGGGTTGGGAAGGAACCCTAAAGCTCATCTCATTCCATCCCCCTGCCATGGGCACGGACACCTGCCATTATCCCAGGTTGCTCCAAGCCCCATCCAACCTGGCCTTGGACACTTCCAGGGGTGGGGCAGCCACAGCTTCTCTGGACAACCTGTGCCAGGGCCTCACCACTTTCACAGGGAACAACTTCTTCTCAGTATCCCGTCTTAACCTCCTCTCTTTCAGTTAGAAGCTATTGTATATATACAAAACAAATACACAAATAAAAATATACAAAATCCCCCAAAACAGAAGAAAAAATACCAAACTCAAAAATAATGCTGCACTAAAATCCGCAAAATGATGTTGGGAGCAGCAAGGGCAGGACTGCTCTGCCCCTTCCTGGCAGAAGTTGTACATGTGTGTGCATGTTTTAGTGTTTGGAGAAAGTCCCTTTCCAACAACCCTAACCTACACTGAATAATTTGCTTTTCAGACTGGTTGAACTGGAGTGTCTGTAGCTCTTACCCTGGCTGCAGCCTGGTTGGGTTGGATCTGTGTGGTGGATCAGTTCAGGGAGTAAATCTGGTTTAGGAGCTGGGGATGTGGACCAGCAAATAGGAGCAGCGAGGTCACTGCTGATCTGCTGAGTTTGCATGCCAGCTTTGTTTCCTTCACTACTTGCTCCCTCAGCATGGACCTGTTCCTGCCAGCTATTTATCATGGAATCATAGAATCCCAGACTGGTTTGAGTTGGGAAGGACATTAAAGCCTATCCAGTTCCACCCCTGCCATGGCAGGGACACCTTCCACTAGACCAGGTTGTCTAAGCCCTGTCTAACCTGGCCTTGGACCCTTCCAGGTGTGGGGCGGGGATTACATTTAATGCATCATCATTAAGTTAAAACTGAGACTGTAGAAAGCTGACGTGTATTCTTATCCCTGTAATTATCTCTGAAATTCAGAGAGAGCAGCTTTGTGACTTTAAGGCCTCAGCTTCTCAGTCTGAAATAGATGGTTGCATTAGGGAAACACCGCTTTGTTCTGAGGCTTTTCAAGTCGAACCACTGAGCTGGAGTCAGGAATGGCTGAGCACCTGGAGCAGGCTGCTGGAATGCTAAACAAGCTTCTGGCAGCATTTTTGCTGGAAGAGCAGAGCCTTTGCTTCAGGTCATTGTCTGCCCTTCAGTGACCGAGTCCTGCAAAGGTGGGAAGCTTTTTTGAGATCTAAAAGCAGAAAAGCTCATCTTGGGCCACCTCTTGGGTAGTAAAAGGGAGGTCTGGGGTGAGCTGTGTCACTGCTGTCACTGCTCAGGTCCTGCCATTTGGCATTCAGGAGCTGCTGGTTTTCTTTATAAGAAGCATTTGAAGATGAGGGACGTTAATACTTCTTATGGTGTGAGCTTGTTTGGCACATCCTGAAGGTTTTGTTTCATTGAAGAAATATTTTAAAAGCTGTTTTCCAATACTTTGTGCCAAGCTGAAGGCAGACATAAATTTAAGATCTAAGAAACTAGTGAGTAACACATTTCTTGCTTGCTAGACTGTGTTGTAACAGATCTTAAAGAAATAAGAACAAATCTTGCTAAGGTGAAATAATCGCATAATGTGTCTGTATCCTGCTGTTAACCTGGAACTAGTGTAAGAGCCCCATTTCATCAGGTGACTGGGATCAGCTCCTGTAAAGGGGATGGTGAGGATGTGAAATAACCTCATTTCTTTTAAAGCAACAATTCAAGTGTTTTCTCTCTCAAGCTCTGAGCCCTCAAGGCCAGCACTGTTGTGCTGTGGCTGATGCCAGCAGGGGCTGGTGCCAAACCAGGGACACTCCTGGAAGGCACCGTGGCTGGTGAAGCCTCTGCTGGGCACTGTTGTAAGGACTGTCTTGGAGCTGCCTCAGATCATCCAGGAAAGCAGCACTGCCTGGCAACTGCACAGATGTTATCCTTCTGGAAAGCTGATGCCTGAGGAAACATCCTGCTCTCCCTGCTCCTGAAGCCCCACAGCATGGTCTGAAGGTGCTGTGCAGAGTCCTGGGCTCTGCTGAGTTCCCCTTCGTCTTCAAGGGATGTTGCTGAGCCACATCAAACTGTCACCCTCTTTTGTCCCCAAGGGCACTTGGTCATTCTCTTCCTCTGCAATCCATAAGCAAGGCCAGCACACAGAATAAACTGGCATTTGGCTTTTCCAGGAATGCTGAGTGCTGCAGCCCTGCTGGGAAAGGGATGCTCCAGGACAAGGGCAGTCAGGCTGTGCCTGTAAGGAGACATTGGTGACTCATGGCTGACTCCTCATCTCTGCAGAGCAGGAGTCATGCCTGTGTCAGCCCTGCTCAGCCAGCCAGCAAGGATTGTCCCAGGACAGAGGGGAGGGAGTCCCTGGTAAGGTGCCCCGGGAGAGCCTGGCAGGGGCTGAGCATCCTGGAATGCCCCTGGGATCTGCACCAGCAACCAGCTCTAATCACTTCACCTTGGGAACTCGCTCTGGAATTTCACTGTTTTTGAAATACAGATGTTTTTGGAACGTAGATGTTTAAAAGCTGAGATACTTCCCTGTGTTTATCCTTCATAGAAAGCTGGAAGAGAATCAGACTGTTCCTCCAAGGAAGAGGCTATTTCTGTGCCCAAGCTGTCCTATCTTTTTTTGATGCATTGTGCACTCAATTATTAAAACCCCTTCCCAAAACTGGGAAAGGGAAAGGCCGGAATGAGATGGAGTTTCTTTGCAGTTGGAATGCAATTGTGTACAGTCAGAGGGCCAAGTGCTGCAGCCTCCTGCTCTAATTCATCCAGCTCTGGGCTCCTTGGTAGGATTTGTAATTTTAGGGAGCTGGTGAAGCATGGAAGTGTAATGCGAATCATTCCAGCATTTCTGTGCCTTCCCTAGGCTTCTCTCCAGCCAGCTGTGTCAGTGTGCATCTGGCCCAGAGCCGCCTCCTGAAACAACTCTGCTATTTTTAGGCTATTGTAATGTGAGTGAAGATATCCTGGGCAAGGATCGCACTAAAGTGAATCATGGAAAAGATCCCAGGCAGGAAAATGCCAATGGGAAGAATTACCGTGAGTCCCTCGCTGTGGGGGAGTCACAGCTCTGACCAGCTTTGGAGAATCCCATAATCCTGGGAAGGGAGAATCAGGGAGAGGGCTCAAAGCTGGGACGCCCACAGGAGCATGTCTTTTCCTTGTTGGGCAGCCCTGGAATGAGTGATCCTCTAAATGACCCTGTGTTAGTGCTGTAGGGTTGTTAATACAGTCCTGTGGCAGAGTGAGGTTGGCACACAGTGCCACACAGCTGCTCCTCCCAGATGGATTTACCAGGCTCCAGATTAACCACACATCATCCACAAGACCCGTGTAGACAAGGCCGAGCTGGAGATGCTGTGGGAAGGTGTCTGGTGTGGTCCTTGTGAGATAAGGGTCCCTGGCAGGGGTAACTTCATCTCTTGGTGCTGAATAAGACAAATTTCTACCTTTAATTGTTGTGAAATTCTGGAGAGCCTTGATTAACATGAGTGGAAGAACTGAATAACTGGAAGGGACTGGGTTGGAAGGGACCTTAAAGCTCATCTCATCCCACCCCCTGCCATGGGCAGGGACACCTTCCGCTAGACCAGGTTTCTCCAAGCCCTCTCCAACCTGGCCTTGGACACTTCCAGGGGTGGGGCAGCCACAGCTTCTCTGGGCAACCTGTGCCAGGGCCTCACCACCCTCACAAGAAAGAATTTCTTCCCAATATCCCATCTAATCCTACCCTCTGGCAGTGGGAAGCTGTTTAATGCTGTGCAGGAAAAGGACAATCCCCCCTCCCCAAAATTGTCTCTTCACCATCTGACATTTTGATATTAATGTGACTAAGGCACCAATCTTAAAATTCATTTTTGTGCTAGACAGTGTCAATGTCCTTACTTGTTCCTCAGGGACAGTGGGAGTTGCTGGTGGAAAGCTGAGAGTGAGCTGGCATAGGACTATCAGGGAATTGTGGAATCATTTAGGTTGGAAAAGACCTTTAAGATTGAGTCCAACCACTAACCCAGCCCTGCCATCAGTCTGATGTGCTGAATACATGTGTATGTCTGTATGTATGCGTATATATCTATATTTTATGTTGGCAGCCTTGAAGGGTCTTTGCACAAAACTCTTTTCCAATGGGAGGTGTCACCCCAATGCAGAGACTGATGGAAATCCAGAGGGAGCCTCTAATCCATTGGCCTGGGAAAGCACAAAGCAGTCATCTTCTGCCTTCTGGTTTTCATACGCGATGGCAGCAGCAACACTTGGACTGCAAAGATGAAATACTGAAAGCTGTTTTTGTTGGATTTAATCCCAAGCATTCCAGTTGGTTTTATGGCTTCTGAAATGGAGTTTGTAGTTCTTTTTAGCTGGGCCAAGTTCAACCTTATGTTCCCATTTATCTGTTTTGCTGGTCTCCTAAACAGCGGATCTGAGATGGCAAATTCATGTTTCATGGAAACCCAACTCGTGGCAGCTCTGGAAAGGAACTGGATATGGATCAGGATGGTGTAGATCACGTGTGCCAAAAAATGCTCAGAAAAATTTGATGCCCCCACATCAGATGCACAACCCATCCACCTCCAAATGACATATAAATAGCAGCTCCCAACCACAGATCCCATCCACGCCCCTTCCCATCAGTTTGGATGAGTGTGCCACCACGTATTCCCAACAAAAATATAACCGATGGGTTGTGTAGCCATCTCCTACTTCTCCGTGGCAGATAGTTCCATAGCCATCTCCCAGCCCTTCTCCATGGCGGATGGTTCCGTAGCCATCTCTCAACACTTCATAGAATCAACTGGGCTGGAAAAGACTGCCCAGATCATCAAGTCCAACCCTTGATCCAACACTGCCACAGTTACTAGACCACGGCACTAAGTGCCACATCCAGTCTCATCTTAAAAATCTCCAGGGACGGTGAATCCACCACCTCCCTTGCCAGCCCATTCCATTGTCTGATTAATCCCTCTGTAAAAAATTTCTTCCTAATATCCAACCTAAACCTCCCCTGGCAGAGCTTAAGATCATGTACTCTTGTCCTGCTATTGGTTGCCTGGGAGAAGAGACCAACCCCCACCTGGCTACAACCTCCTTTCAGGTAGTCGGAGAGAGTGATGAGGTCTCCCCTGAGCCTCTTCTTCAGGCTAAACACCTCCAGCTCCCTCAGCCTCTCCTCATAGGACTTGTGCTCCAGTTCCTTCGCCAAGCTCGTTGCTCTTCTCTGGACCTGCTCCAGCACCTCAATATCCTTCCTGAACTGAGGGGCCCAGAACTGGACACAGCACTCGAGGTGTGGCCTCACCAGCGCTGAGTACAGGGGAGGAATTGCTGCCTTGGTCCTGCTGGCCACACTGTTCCTGATCCAGGCCAGGATGCCATTGGCCTTCTTGGCCACCTGGGCACACTGCTGGCTCATGTTCAGTTTCCTGTCAATTCAGACTCCCGGGTCCCTTTCTGCCTGGCTGCTCTCCAGCCACTCTGTCCTCAGCCTGTAGTGCTGCACAGGGTTGTTGTGGCCAAAGTGCAGGACCTGGCACTTGGCCTTCTTGAACCTCATCCTATTGGAATCAGACTATCTCTCCAGCTTGTCCAGGTCCCTCTGAAGAGCCCTCCTGCCTTCCAGCAGATCAACACTCCCCCCCAACTTCCCCATGGCAGATAGTTCTGTAGCCATCCTCTGTAGCTTTTACAACAGCTGTGGCTCTGAGAATTTGGTGCTGTATAAAAAGAGGCTGGGCTGTAACATGAACATGCTCATTTTGGAGTGTGTTTCTCATTCAGAGCCTTCCCTGGGATCTGTTCCTGGTAAACAGGAGGATTTTACATCTGGTGGAGCTGGTACAGACTTGCTTCGGGTTTTTAAACATGTTGATGTGTTGCTCCTTGGCAGCTTCAGCTGCATCTCTTCATTTCATGAACATGCTCAGTTACAGCACCTAAATAAGCCTGTTCCAGCCTCATTTCCTCCTTGCAGCAATGACCTCCTTGCAGTGTCCTGGCAAGAGCACATTTACAAGCAGCTGTAGCCCATCCTCTCCCTATGAACACGTCTGGGGGGGCCGATGCCCATCCTGAGGTGTGACCTTGCTGGGGCATGAGCTCCACCTGTGTGACTGACGGGCGAGTTGGGACGTCTGCAAAGGCACAGACAAGTCAATGCAGGTGTGGGCAAGGAGGGGAGGGCTCCAGAAGTCTTCTGGAGAACAACTTAAGCCAAATCAGATGTATAAAAAACATCAATGCCATCATGTGTGTGGTTGTTTCTGAGGTTTTTTCCAGCAAGGCCAGGATAGCTCAACTTCACCACCTTAATTTTCTTTATAAGGGAACATGGTGCTTTCTGGTTACTCTGGGAACATAACAAGCCTCATGTTTCCTCCCTCTTACAGAGGAGAACGCAGAGATCACGCTCGATGTGTCGCTGGCCTATCGTGATGACACGTTCAGTGACTGGGAAGAAATAGCTCATGCCATAGAGAACAGGAAGCTGAAGTGCACCTTTGGCTCACCAAAAGTAAGGAGCTTGGACAATGCTGGCAGTGGGGATGGGTGGGACTTGTCCTCTTCCTGTCATAGAATCATAGAATCACTCCTTCTGTGAAGAAATTTTCCCCAATATCCAACCTAAACCTCCCCTGGCACAACCTGAGGCTGTTTCCTCTTGTCACTTGCTTTCTGGGAGAAGAGGCTGAATCCCATCTGGCTGCACCCTCCTGTCAGGGAGTTGTAAAAGGTTCATCTTGGAAGGCTCCCTTGACTTTAAGACTGTTAAAGAGCCTGAAATGCGAACCTCCTTGAGGTCAAACTCATTGATTCAATGACCCAAACCAATAAAAACATGAGGATAAATGTCCCCAAGCCACTGTCTCACACAGGCTCTCCCCAGGAACTGGCAAACAGGCTTTTGGTGCTCCCAGTTTGAGGGCTTTTGCAGACCCTCCCTGTGGGGGATTGTGGTGGTCCCTGGGGACTGACAGCCATGGTTTTGCTCCCTGCCCTTTCTCCAGACTCTGGAGTCCGAGGGCCGGCACTACGACTGCGACTTCCTGCCCTTCATGGAGATCGGCAGCGTGGCACACAAGTACTACCTCATCAACATCCGCCTGCCTGTCAACGAGAGAAAGGGCATCAACGTGGGCATCGGCGAGATCAAGGACATCCGCCTCGTGGTGAGTGTCCATCCTGCTTCCGACCAGGGTGGCTGCCCATCCTACTTCCTGTCCTGAGCTCTTTTGGTCCCGCTCCAGCCTCACATGGGACTGTCCTCCTTCCTGAGGGATGCCCTCTTTGCTCTTCTGAGGAGCCCTCCCCAAGCCTCGAGCCCTGTGACCACCTCCAATGCTGGGCTCTTTCCGTGGCTCTGAGAATTCCCCTGTGCTCTCCCCTCCCCGCCACAGTCTGGCTGGGATGCAGAGTCTTCCCTCTCATGGGTACGAGTTAAGGAGGAGCAGAACAGCAGGGTTTGAAGGGGATTTGGATCTTGGAGTTGGTTGTGGCCATGCAGATGTCTGGGATGGCTGTCAGCAATCCTTGCTCCTGCCCTCCCTTGAGGCTTGGTGCGCATGGATGCTTCTCCCACCTGGAAGCCCTCCCCACACCGTCCCTGTCAGCGGAGCAGGGAGCCAGGGCTGTGGTGGCTGCAGACAGTGGTGGGAGGGCGCATGACTGGAGAAACATGTTCATTTGACCAATGCTCTTCCCACCAGCGATGACTTGGCTCCATGAGTGTCCTGTTACTTGTCTGGGAGTAATTCTGCCAGCTTTTTCCATGCTGTGTCAGAATCCCCTCTTCTGCCTCGTGTCTGCTGGTATTTGTTTTCAGACCTTCTGGAACCTGCCTAGGTGGCCTGGGGGCTTAGTGGGCACCTGCTCCCTTTCTGGTGTTGGCCAGCCCATGTCTTTGGGATGCACTGCCATGTCTGTGCCTCTCCTGCCACTCCTGTAAGGAGAAGGACAGAATGATGACATGAAACCCTGCATAGCAGTCACCTTCCACCTTGGTTTTCCTTAGGGCATCCATCAAAACGGAGGCTTCACCAAGGTGTGGTTTGCCATGAAGACCTTCCTGACCCCCAGCATTCTGATTATCATGGTGTGGTACTGGAGGCGGATCACGCTGATGACACGTGCTCCTGTCCTGCTGGAGAAGTGAGTTGGGGCCCAGGTGACCCTCAAGCAAGGGGACTCCCTGAGGTGGTTGTTGCTCCCAGGCAGAGCCCATGGTTGGGGAGACAGGAATTGTCTCTTCTCCACCCCCTCCCTCCGCCCAGGCACACTGGGAGCAGGAGAGCTCCATAGTTTCTCTTTTCTTTCCTGTTGAACCCATGGAGAATGAGGAACTACTTGGAGTCAGTCAGTCCTAGAGGGTTTGGTGGCAGGAGGTGACACTTCCCGAAGAGCTAGATCTCCTTCTGTTGCATTCTGAGCACAGCTTTGGATTTTGGGGCTCTGTTCTTCCCTTGAACACTGGAAAGAGATGGTGTATCTGCTTCTCCAGGGTCATCTTTGCTCTGGGAATTTCCATGACGTTCATTAACATCCCTGTAGAGTGGTTTTCCATCGGTTTTGACTGGACTTGGATGCTGCTCTTCGGAGACATTCGGCAAGGAATTTTCTATGCCATGCTGCTCTCGTTTTGGATCATCTTCTGTGGGGAGCACATGATGGTGGGTATCACACCGATGGGAAGGGGGTTTCCAGCTCTGATCCTAGCAATACCTGGCAGCTCCCTTGTACTTGTTGAGAGTTGGAAATGATGTTGTGGGGACTTGCACCAGGTGAGGGCACTTCAGGCTAAATTGCTTTCCCTTTTTCTCCTCCTCCAAACCTCTTGACCTGACTAGGACCAGAGCGAGCGGAATCGGCTCTCGGGATACTGGAAGCAAGTTGGACCCATAGCTGTGGGCTCCTTCTGCCTCTTCATCTTTGACATGTGCGAGAGGTGGGTGCAGCAATCCCAGGCTCCTGGTCACCTCCCCCAGCAGGGACCAGCAGTTTCAGCCCGTGGCTGGATGCACAGCCCCATCTCCTGGAGCCTGGAGAGGCTCCTGTGGATGCTCTGAAGTGTGCTGGAATGTCACAGCAGGGAAACACCTCCCACCTCACCTCTGCCTCACACACAGGGCAAAGCAGTGCAGCTGGCCATTCCCATGTGAAACCTTAGGGAAAGGTTCTACCCCCAGAAGGTGGTCAGGCACTGAACAGACTCCCCAGGGCAGTGGTCATGGCCCCAAGGCTGCCAGAGCTGCAGGAACATTTGAACAACGCACAGGGTGGGACTGTTGGGGTGTCTGTGCAGTGCCATGAGTTGGACTCGTGATCCTTGTGGGTCCGTTCCAGCTCAGGATATTCTATGATTCTGTGATTCCCAGGCTGCAGAGTGGATATGGGGCCCTCTGAGCTTGTTGGCCTCTGACAGTTGGTGTTTTCTGTCCTCTGCAGGGGGGTGCAACTCAAGAATCCCTTCTACAGCATCTGGACCACCGAGGTGGGCACGGAGCTGGCTGTATCCTTCCCCTGCCTCAGACTGGGTCAGTAGGAGAGGGAGATGTTCCCCTCCTAGTGTGGGGAAACTTCCACCCTGATTTTGGAAGGCCAGGGGCGGCTCAGGCGCTGCAGATGCCAGTGTCCTTAGGAAGGAGCAGTCCTGGCAGGTTTGGAGCTGGACACCTCAGGGAACTGGTGCTGTGTGAGGGGAAGTCACTGGGGAACAGAATATGTGAATCACCTGAATAATGTTTTCTGGTATTTCTTTTTAGTTTGTACAATTTTCCCTTAACTCTCTCTGCCCAGATGGCCTTTATTATAGTTGCAGGGATCTGCCTGTGCCTCTATTTTCTCTTCCTGTGTTTCATGGTCTTCCAAGTGTTCAGAAACATCAGTGGGAAGCAGTCAAGCCTCCCTGCCATGAGCAAGGCTCGGCGCCTTCACTATGAGGTAACTGCCCTCCTTGGAGCATGGATTCTTTATTTTTGGCCCTCGAGTCTGTGCTGAGACTCCTCTACCCATAATCTCCCCACACCTCCATTTCCCCACCTTTAAGAATAACTTTTGTGTTTAGTGGGAAGTGTTGCCAAGACCACCTGGTTTTCCATGGTGTAAATTCAGAATTTTGGTGTTGTCATTTCCTAAACAAGTTGCTAGAGGGAAACAGGGATCAAAACACAACACATTCAGCTCATTATCCCTGTTTTTAGCCCATGATTTTGTACGTGTTCCTGTCCTACCTGCCTCTACCAGCTGTCAAACTCAAGGAACTCACTCTCAGTGCTTAGGCTGTTTCCACAGGGGTGTAAATATTTATCCTCAAAGTTGTTCTGTTAAATCATGGTCACTTCTGATTTACACAAGTCATGATCACTCACTGGGAATGCACAGAAAAAATTAGAAAATCAGACTTGAGAGAATTTGAAGCAGATATTGAGTGCTTTTCCCTCTAGCAGGAGGCACAGGCCTTCAGCTCGTGGTGCAGAGCTGCTGCTGCCACGCTTGACATCCAAACATCTGGTGAGCATGGATCTAGTGTGGAAGAGTTAAATTAATAGTCATCTGTTGTTGTGATGTGGCACAGTCATTACACAGACACTGACATTTCCACCTAAATTCCAAAAACAGGTTAAAAACCCCAACACACTCACACAAAACCAAAAGCATTTGTAAATAAAAATGTAAAACTAGTGAAAGCAGGGACGGTGAGGAGTGGGATAGATCCTGAGCCTGAGGTTGTCTCGGGATCTCTGTTCTGTGGAGCCAGCGTGGGTTTGCCAGGCATTGGAATTGCTGCAGCTTCCTCCCATCCAGGCTGAGGGTGAGGATGAGTGTGGTAGGACCAGAGCCCGTGCTGAGACACCGACTCCCCCCATGTTTGTTTTACAAGACCCATGAGCTGTCAGGCTGGGACCCAGCTCACACCGACCCGCCGCCTCTCCCACGTCAATTAACTCCTGGTCAATCAGTCACCAGAGCAAATGTCATGGAAAGGCAGCGCTGTCCAGACATCCCAGCCCGCGCGGAGCATCCGGAGCAGCGCAGACGTGTGGGGAGCGGAGGATATGGGCTGTGCTGAGCACGGCACAGGAGTGGGTGGAGGTTGTTTTGCTTTGGGGTTTCGTGGGTTGGACCCTTTTTTTCTCTTTCATTTTTTATACTCATGTCTTGTCTATCCTAAAACCAAAAAAGGGTTTTGTGGATTCTGTTAATGTGACCAGTGACATTTCTCTCTAAACAGGGGCTGATTTTTAGGTTCAAGTTTCTGATGCTCATCACCCTGGCCTGTGCAGCCATGACTGTCATCTTCTTCATTGTGAGCCAGGTGAGCCATAGGACTGGGCTTCCTGGGAAGCCACTTCCTGAGCCACTCCTGACGCCAGCTCTGGTCAGACAAGACAAGCTTGTTACAAGCACATTTGACAGCAAGTTGCTTTTTAAGAAGTTGTTTTCATTTGTTTGAAGCTCTGCCATGAAATGTCTCAGGCTGGAGCCGCACAAAGGCTGTTGGCTCCCAAAGCATTGGGGCTGTGCTGGGCAGAACATGGGCCAACACGGGTTAGTCATTTCTGAGAACTCAGCAAGGGGAAAACGTTCTGTTCACACTGAAACACTCTGGTGGCTTTGTGTGCCCACAGAGACATGACAGAATCCAGCCTTCCCTGGGCTGACTGTTCCCAGCAGTAGCTGTACCTGTTTATCCTGAGCTCCAACACTGTCTCTGTACTAATGAGCTTCTGTTGCTGCTGAAATCATAGAATCTCAGACTGGTTTGGGTTGGGAGGGACCCATCCAATTCCACCTGCTATGAGCAGGGATACCTTCCACTAGCCCAGGTTGCTCCAAGCCCTCTCCAACCTGGCCTTGGACACTTCCCAGGATGGGGCAGCCACAGCTTCTCTGGGCAACCTGTGCCAGGGCCTCACCACTCTCCCAGGGAAGGATTTCTTCCCAATATCCCATCTAACACTGCCCTCTGGCAGTGGGAAGCCATTCCCCCTTGTCCTGGCACTTCAGACCCTTGTCCAAAGTCCCTCTCCAACTCTCTTGGAGCCCCTTTAGGCGCTAAGGTCTCCCTGGAGCCTTCTCTTCTCCAGGCTGAACACCCCCAGCTCTCCCAGCCTGGCTCCAGAGCAGAGCAGCCCTTGGAGCATCTCCATGGCTCTCTTTTTAAGCTAGTTTAGCTTTTTTCTTCCCTGTTATGTCTTTCTTTAACAGAAAGCAGCATTTCAGTATGAGCAGTCTGTGTATCTTCTAGTAACATTAACATTGATGGTATTTTCCTGGATGCTGACAAACTTCAGTGTGTCTCAGGCTGGTGCTGTCAGCCCCCCCTCCTCAGACAGCTGCAGGAGGCCGTGCTCAGCACATCAGCTCTCATATTATCCACGCTGGTTTTCCTGCTATAAAAGTACTATTTTTAGCAGTCGGATGTTTGTGGATGTCACTGCTTGTCCTCACATATTGCCCTTTGTGTGCTGAGCATATGGTTGCAGCGGGTGTATCCAGAACAGAGCAGTTTGGTCACATTAAATGAGACATCAAAGAAATCCTGATGGAATCATTTTGTCAGGATCATTTTTTCCCTGCAGATTGAGGCTGAAGAGGAGAATCCCAGCCTGGCTTCTGCTTCACTGAACCTGTTCCACTCCATTTACTCCATCTTGTTGAATTGATGCTGTTCTCACTGATTTACTCAAAGTACAGAATTTGCTCTTTCTCCTGGGCAGGTGACAGAAGGCCACTGGAAGTGGGGGGACATAACAATACAGGTGAACAGCGCCTTCTTCACGGGCATCTACGGGATGTGGAACCTCTACGTGTTTGCCCTCATGTTCCTGTACGCGCCGTCCCACAAGAACTACGGCGAGGACCAGTCCAATGGTGAGTGCCTCTGAGTGACCTAAGGGGGGAAAGAGATAGAAAGTGGGGGATGCCTTCTGCACATTTGTTTTTGGCTCAGCTGCATATTCAGCAGCTTGAAATGTTATGGAAATTATGGTTTGGTTTTCGAGGCAGGCTCGGTTGGACAGGTTTGAGTATGTAGCCAAGGCTGGCACGAACCTTCTAGGTGGTTTTTGTACGTTTTAGCATTGCCCAGATGTAACTGCAGCTCAAAGGGAGGGATGAGGAATGGAGAAAATAGAATCCCTGATCTAGTGCATGGCATTCCAGCCCATGGCAGGGGGTTAGAACTGGGTGATATTTTAAGTCCCTTCCAACTCAAACCATTTTGGGATTCTTTGAAGTCTGGGCAAGTGGGGAATGGCAGCACTGTTGGATTCTGTTATCAGTAGTCCTCAGTAGTACAGAAATCATTGTTTGCTGATACAGAATCATGGAATTGTTTATGTTGGAAAAGACCTTTAAGACCGTCAAGTCCAACCATTCCCCAGCACTGCCAAGGCCACCACTGACCCATGTCCCCAAGTGCCACATCCACACAGCTTTTAAATCCCTCCAGGGATGGGGACTACACCCCTGCCCTGGGCAGGTGTGCCAGGGCTGGACAACCCTTTTCGTGAAGAAATTTTTCCAATATCCAATTTAAACCTCCCCTGCCACACCTTGAGGCCATTTCCCCTTGTCCTGTCCCTTGTTCCCTGGGAGCAGAGCCCGACCCCCACCTGGCTCCACCCTTCTGTCAGGGAATTGCAGAGAGCCAGAAGGTCCCGCCTGAGCCTCCTTCTCTCCAGGCTGAGCCACCCCAGCTCCCTCAGCCACTCCTGGTGCTACAGATTCTTCTCCAGCTCCATTTCCTCCCCTGAACACACTCCAGCTTCTCAATGTCTCTCTTTTCTTTCTATTTAAATAACTGTAAATAAAAGCATTTATAGGATTGTTGCCTGGTCTGTAGCTCAGGCAGCTCCTGAAAGCCTGGAGAGAATAAACCGGACCTTTCACTTTCTAATTGTCCAGTATTTTCCTGTGAGACCCCCTAACAGAACAACTTTGTTTCTCAGGTGACCTGGGGGTGAACAGCGGGGAGGAGCTCCAGCTCACCACCACCATCACCCACGTGGACGGGCCCACGGAGGTTTACAAGCTGGCTCGGAAGGAGGCTCAGGAGTGACACAGAGGTGCCTCAGTGGGGCCCTGGCCTGGGGTGGGAGCAGAGGACACACAAGTCCCTCTGGCAGGAGACCTCTGCGGCCAAATTCGCTCCTTGAGCGCCCCGTCCCTGGTGTGTTCTCAGAGCAGTGACACCGAGCAGAACATTTGTAACTCTTTACTATGGTGTAGTTATTCCTGGGGGGAGGGATGTGTATATTGTGTTCCACTCGGGCACGTAAAACCCTGCTGGAAAGGCATTAGGGTTGCAAAGTCGTGCGTTTGGACGTCGGGACGGGGCAGAGCTGCCGTGGGGCTGGTTTTATTTGGCCGTGTGTGCTGGTGCATAAAAAGGTGCTGCAGGGAGCTCAGCTGGCAGCACATACTCAGTAGTCCAAGTTTTCTCCTGTGTGCAACTTATACAAGGTGCTGGTGGGGAGAGGGACTAAATCCTCGTTGTAAAAACATTTAATTCCACCATTTGTAACTGTATCAACCCAAGTTTGAGTCTTTAGTGCAGCCCTGCAGCCACCCTCTGTCCTTGAATGAAGCACAGCTGGGAGAGGAGTAGGCTGTTATAAGGTTTTTGTAGGAGCAGCAACGTGCATTCTCAGTAGGGTTTACAGCTGTTTGTTGAATACAGGGAATGTCCAGCCTTGATGCTGAGTTGAGTTGCAGGAGAACAGAGCACTCCTGACACAGTTTCCAGGGGTGCTGATCCCACAGCCACCTCCTGGGCTTTTGTAGCTTCCTCCATCTTTCCCTTTTGTTGTGGGACATCCCTGTGAGCTGGGCAGTCCTGCTCCTCCATGCACTGCTGGGCTGGAGCACACTTGGCAGAGCTGGATTCCTCCAGGGATTATCAGACTTGAAAGAATCAGCTGGTCACGCACTAATGTGGATCTTCAATATTCGCTTTTCCAGAGCAAACACAGGCACTGAGCTTGCTCAGCCCCACGCTGGGAGGCTGCTGGCACTGCAAGGGAAGTGGGAACTGATCGAGGTGGAGGCTTGAATTGGACTGTGCTGGGACCAGTTAAGAGCAGTGAATGGTGGAGGGGAAGAACTGTGGCCAGAAGGGTCTGTGCTGCTCAGGACACACCTCCCAGGGCCTGGAGCATCCAGAGAGCCTCATGAGCTGGCAATAGTAAATGTAGTAGTAGTAAATAAGCAGTGTTAACTGCTAGTAACATGTAATCCACCTTCCCAGTTTTGTCCCTAGATCAGGGTCTGCTGCTGCTGTATGTGGCTGAAGGGTCAGAGATGAGGAAGAGAAGCTCCCAAAGCTGCTGCCAGGCTGTCAGCCCAGGTACCATCATGATTCCCACCCAAAATTTATTCCTATCCGTTTATTAAAGCTCAACACTTGGTAAAAAGAGAGGGTGAATCAAAAGATCATCTTGCATCCTTTAGGTTGCCGGGCACCCCCAGCTGTACCTCTGGTTACAATGTGACACACTGAGCAGACCCCCTTTGCCAAAGGGCTGCTTCCTTTGTATTGATTGGAGCTATTACAGGCTTTTCTTAAAAGGAAGTAATTCTGTTTGTTGTGTTCACCCTCTCCGAGATACTGAGCTCCCCGGCCCCTGGAGCACCCCAGCAGGGTCACAGCTGAGTAGGTGTTCCTGCTTGGAGTATTTATTCCATTGCAAAGTGAATTAAATCAATGCACATCAACGTAACTCCAGCACGTTCCCGGCTGAGCGCTCGACTTTGCAACTTTAACATCCCTTTTCCCTTGGGTCCTTACGTGATATTTATGTTGTTTCCATAGGTGTGTCCGTGGTTTCTTTTCCAGCTTAGTCTCTAGGATTCTGTTTTGTAAAGGCTCTTCATGAACTGGGACCCACAGCTTTCAAACCAAATTCTGTGTCCAATACTAACAGTTTGTTTACGGGGCGTGTGGACGTGTGTGTGTGCGTGTGTGGGTTTTTTATTTTTCATCCCTAAGCCCTACTCATACGTCTTGGAAATAGTCCGTGGGTCTTATTAAAATATATCCTTTTTTTGTTTAGGTTGAGTTCAGTTTTTACAGAATGCTTTAAGCAACCTGGAAAACCTGTAGTTTTGTTAATTTAAATAAAATATACAATATTGTGGATTTGTTGTTGGCCACGGGAATTTGTTGTTGGAATTTCTCTATAATCTCACCCTGCCCTCTGTCAGTGTGAACCCTTTCCCCCTTCTTGCTCTCTCCAACTCCCTGACAGGAGCAGGGAGCCAGGTGGGTGTCAGGCTCTGCTCCCAGGGAACAAGGGACAGGACAAGAGGAAACGGCTTCAAGTTGCACCAGGGGAGGTTCAGGTTGGATATTAAGGAAAAATTCTTCAGGTAAGGGTTGTCCAGCCCACAGGCTACTCAGGACAGTGGCTGATTTCCCATCCCTGGAGGGATTTAAAAGCCATGTGGATGTGACACCTGGGGACATGGGTTAGTGGTGGCCTTGGCAGTGCTGAGGAATGATTGGACTCGATGGACTCAGGGGGCTTTTCCAACCTAAACAATTTCATGATTCTGTGACTTGCGCTTAAGGAGTAGTGGAAAATTTGATGAAAACAGATTAAGTTCAGTATCAAGAGCCTGAAGTCCCCTTGCAGGAAGGGCTGCCCGGATAAATCGGACCTGAGAGGGAATCTGGGAGCTGAGCTTTTGGGCAGAGCCTGTGGCTCTGTTCCCTCTGCAGCTCCAGCTACCCTGCACGGCGAGGAACTCGGGCTGCTCCCAGACAGACCGGAGGCAGTGCAGCACTGTGGGACCTAATGAACGGCAACAATGCAAATTAATGAATTCCCAACGACTGTAGAACCGCCGTCCCCTCCCACACACTCTTCTCCCGGGTGTCGCTGCCCAGGCGCGTCCTGCCCTGGCAGAGCTCTGCTGCCACCTGCTGCCACCAGAACCTGCTCCCGCTGGACTGAACACAAACCATCGATCCCTCATCTCTAAAATGTGGGAAATTGGCTGATGTGTAGAAACTCCCATTGCCAGAGAGGTGCTGCTCGGGGTCTGGGAGCTTTGTGTGTCTGTGCTGCTGTGCAGGGACACACTGAGAACTGGCAGGAGTGGGAAAAGCCACCTGAGAGTAGCTTTAAAGTCTGGCTGGGGTGGCTGTTGAGCAAAGGGAAAATGGGTTGTGGAAGACTTTTCTGGGTGAGCTGGGGACCACAATTTCTGAGGTCAGAAAAGGGTCTTTGGTTGGAACAATTTGTTTTCCTTATTGGATTGTTTTCTGCAGGGGCAGGAACTGAACTCAGTGGTCCTTGTGGGTCTCTTCCAATGCGGGAGTTTCCATGATTCTGTGTTTCCTTAGAAATCTGAGACTGGGAGGCACTGGGAGAACTGGGCTTGGACCCCGATGCCCATCCCCCTGAAAGGGAGGGAGCTCAGGAAATGCTCAGGGAAGGGTGATGTGAGTGAAGGTTCTGTGGCTGTGTCTCACCGTGTGCCTGCTGGATGGAGCCAGCCTGTGTGTCCCAGCTTAAAAATAGGAGACAACTTGTGACTGGGTGAGATCCCAGCAGGGATCCGAGATGGTGCCCAGGTCTGATGGTGCTGTTGGCACTGGATGAGGAGAGGGAGGTGCTGGCGTTTCCTTGTTGTCCTCTTCAAAGCTGCTCTCAGCAGCCCGCAGACAATCAGAACATTGTGGGACACTGAAACATGTTCCCTTTCCCACCCCACATTCTGTAGCCTAAGGCTACAATACCCCAAGGCTATTTTCTGGATTTTGGTACGATGGAAATAAAAGATTGCTGGGGACAGAAGGGCAGGAGATGAGCTCCGGTTCCTGTTGTAATGACTCACTCCTGCCCTCAACGATGGCATAGTCAGTGCACTTTTTGGGGGGGTAAAACAAGCACTAAGCAGCGACAGGTTTATTTTTGGAACGTTTTGCTCTGTGGTGGGCACACAGACATGTCACGGGTCTGCTTCCCACTTAGCACCTGACACCGCATTGCACAAGAGCCGGTGGCTCTTGGGAGTTTCTCCCTCTATTACAGGAAATCAATCCGAGCTTCAGGCTTTAGGTGTAGAGGTTTAAATAAAATATGAGCTCTCCTCATGGTTATGATTATTGGCACCTTGTGCCTCTCCATCTCTGAAGTGTAAGTGTGGCAGGGGCAGCGGCTCAGCTGACTCTGGCTGTCCATGCTGGTCCCTCCTCGCTGCCATGCCAAGCACTGGGATATCAGAGCCCTGCTCCCCATGGCAGGCTGCAGGTTGGGTGTTTGTTTCTGGCTCAGCTGAACTGATGTGTGGTGGCTCCATGCAATGAATTCCTTGATGAAATGGTTTAAATATTGTCCCATCCTTTAGCTGTTTCATTATTTCACGCCAAGGGAAGTTTATATCCATTATAATAGGTGGAATTTGTGTTTTCTCCTATTTTTCTGTCCTCATTTTGTTGTGCTTAAAGCCCTCCAGAGTTTCCAGAGGAAGGGCACTCTTCCAAGTACAGCCCTCATTCATGAGATGGATGTGATGGCTTAGCAATAGCTAAGCCACTCTGGTACATTTCCCAATGAATATTGTACAGGCTGGACTGCACTCCCAAGTCTCGGCATTGCTGAGAAGAAACATCCTGTCCGGTAAGCAATATGCACCACTGACATACAGCCTCTGGTTTAATAATAATTTATGTAATTCCAGAGGAAAATCCTTTTTCTGTCTTCACCTGCTGCCTCGTACCTTTCCACAAGAACTTGTGACATTCAAAGCAATATTAAGGAGATGGATGGAATGGCTGTGAAGATCCAGCTCCGTCTCCCACACGGAAAAGAAATCCTCCAGAGGAAAAGCAGTGGAAGTGGAGCCCAATGAAGACAGAGCAGGATGGGTGCCCATCCCTGAGTCTCCCTGCTGTACCTCCAGTCACTTGGATACCACCCTTCCGAACCCTGGGAGCCTTTGGGGGCTGTTAGTGCTGTGCTGTGCCTCATTTCCTCAGGGAAATTACACAATCCCTGCAAGTCCCACGGGAGTCCTGACAGAACAGAAACAATCCCTGGCAAAGTCCCCACAGAAAAGAGATCTTGTTATTGTCACCCATCCCTCCTGTAGGTCCCCAGTGCTGTCCAGCACCTCACAGCTCCGGGAATTTCCCAGACAATTTTCCAGAGCAGCAGCAGGAGCAGGCCTCAATCCCCACTCCCTCTGTGCTCTGCTTCCTTGAGGGGCTCTCCCAGACAGCTGATTTCCATTTAACATTTCCTTTTGGAATTTTTCTGGCTGTTGTCAGCTCCATCCCAAGCAAATCCTGACCAACAGTGGGACACTGAGCCAGCATCTCATGGCTGTGTCCCTCCCAAGACAGAGATACTGTCTAGGACACGGCTCTCCATCCCTTCTTTAAGGAAGCCAGAGTCATTCTTTTACCTCTGTTGACTCACAGCTTCTTTCCTGCTTTCTGACTGGAGGAGGGTCATGAATCCTTCCCCGAACACAGAAGCCTCTTGGCTTCTCATGTCACCTTACTTATGCAACAATTCTCTCTTAGAAAGAGATATTATTTAAATACCTCTTAGAGACAAGTATTGGAAATCTTAGAAAATATCTGAAAATAGGTAACTGCCTTTGAGTAAACAGAGTGAATTAGCTAGTCATTCCTAGTTAGGATTTCATTGTGGCTAATAAATACCCCATAAACACCAAAAATGATAGTTTATAAATACCTCATAAACATCAGAAATGATGGTTTGTAAATCAGCTCTGAAAATCCACATTAATTATAGGATTCGGGCAAAGGGAATGACTTGCAGGTTATGAGCCTTGCCACAAACAAGTCATTCTGCCTGGAGAGACAGGAACAGTAAAGATATGACATAATGATTAGACAAAAAAATCCACAGCAGTATGAAGTAGGTCTAAAGAGACACTTTTTGTTGGTCTAGGATAGGAGGGAAACATTACAAGGCTGATAGAAGTGGATTTAAAAAAGGTAGGAGAACACCACAGAGTCAGTGATGCAGCAAGGATTGGAGAAATTAAGACATGATAACCTGGAAAACCACAAATCGTTTGGGAAGAATGAGCTTGGGGAAGGACTGAGAAGTGTTTCCTTCACAAGTGCTTTGACTAGAGAAATTCCTTAACTCAGAGACAGAAACACAAATAGGAATGATAATGTCTGCAAAAACTGGTTTTGTTGCCCGGTGTGCAACAAGCCAATAATGAGAGAAGAGACACTGGTGATTTATTTCAGAGTTGAGTGCCCAGTGTAATTTCACAAATCCAGCACCCCAACTATCAAAACTTTTTACTACTTATACATTTTAGGTCAGTGGGTTTCTTGGGTCACTGGTCACGATTTCCCCCTGCCAGAATCACCTTTTACCCCATCAGAGCTGATTTCAGCACAGTTGCTGAGTTGGCTTTATTAGTTTCTTCCTTATCTTGGGAGTTCTGCCAAATGTCGCTGTGGCCTGTAAATTTTGCATTCTTTGCATCCGCTATCAGTGGAAATCCTTCTTCCTAAGCTTTGTTAACCTCGACCCAAGGTCTGAGATCACTGGAACATGTGGAGCCCTAAACCTTAACAAAGGAATTATACCCACAAGTAATTTGTTTTTCTAACACCTGAACATCACTTAGAGCTCGTTCGTTGCTGGTTCATGGATTAAATCTCCCTTCTTGTTGATTAGGCTTGAAAGTATGCAAAGATTAAACAACAGAGAACATCAATTCTGAAGAAAATTTTACACACTGCACGTTTTGCAATATGACCAGGCTGTAAGAAAGCCACATATTACCCCAACCATGAACAATTCATGAAATGCGTTAATTTTTGAGCGCCCTCCACCGGCGCCGGCGGCCATTTTGGGGCGTGAGGGCGGGCGGCGCCTGGGCGGGAACGGGCCGTGAGGGAGAGCCGAGCCCATGGCGGGGCCCTGCGGGCAGAAAAGGGTTGTGAGGGAGAGCCGAGCCCATGGCGGCGGCTGTGGCGGAACGGGGCGAAGAGGAGCCGGGGGTGGCTCTCAGCCCACGGCCGCCTTCTCCTGTCAAGCACCGGGCTGTGCGTGCTGCACTCTGCCCGCAGAGAGAGCGTGCGGAGAGGCGGCGTTTGAGGAAATTGCTAATAAACCGGGAGACACGCGACTCGTGATTGTGATACACAACGACTCTGTTTTATCCGTCAGTGTGAGGGAGACAAAGTCATGGAATCACAGAGTATTCCGAGTTGGAAGGGACTCACGCGGACATGGAGTGGACCTTGATGGCCATGGCCTCAGGGCTCGGTGATTTCCCCGGGGAGGGCTGAGGAGCCCCGTCAGGGCATCCCTGCCCCGCTTAATGACAGCGGGGGCGGAAAGCAGAGCTGTATTAAGTGTTTTAAAACACAATCAGACTTAAGCCGGGAGATGCTCAGGGTGACTTAAAGCCGGCAGAGCCTGTCAGTGCTTGGGCGTCTGCGGCGAGGGGGGCTGAGGAGACGCGCCTTTGTGCGTGGAGTGAGAGGGATGGAGCAGCAGAACTCGGCTCCAGCGGCTGTAACTCAAGTGGTCGTGCTGGTAATTTATTTATTTTCATGGGGGTTTTGAGGGGAAGGCTGGATATATGGAGGCACGGAGCCTCCCCTCCCTTCCGCGGCGGCGGAGCTCCGGGCGGGGGGCGCCGCTTCCCTGAGGTTGGAACACACCTTCCCGGGGCTGGAATACACCTTCCCGGGGCTGGAATACCGCTTTCCCGGGGCTGGCAGGCGATTCCAGTCCCGTTTCGCTGCTCAGTGGAGCTGATGGCTACAGGTGAATTCCTTTTCGCTTTCATGCGATATATGGCTGGGGGAGACGGAGAGATAGTGGCTTATTTCAAGGAAAAAGGATGGGAGGGGAGTGATTTATAATTGCTTATCTCAGTAACGTACCGTAACATTACCGGGATGGTATGAAGGATTCATTTTTCTTTCTCTCTTCCCCCTTTCCCCCTCCCTCTCCCTTTTCCCCTCCCTCTCCCCCCTTTCCCCCCTCCCTCTCGCTCTCCACAGCCCACCTCTGCGTAGGGCTGTGTAAACTTGGAGGAACTCGGGTATTTTCAGTGCAGACCTTCACTCGCATCGCCGCGCAGCCAAGATGCCCGAGCAGAGCAACGATTACAGGGTGGTGGTGTTCGGAGCAGCCGGGGTTGGCAAAAGCTCCTTGGTCCTGCGTTTTGTAAGGGGGACTTTCCGGGAAACCTATATCCCCACCATCGAGGACACGTACCGGCAGGTGATCAACTGTGACAAGAGCATCTGCACGCTTCAGATCACGGACACCACGGGCAGCCACCAGTTCCCTGCTATGCAGCGCCTCTCTATATCCAAGGGGCATGCCTTCATCTTGGTGTACTCCGTCACCAACAGGCAATCCATGGAAGATCTTCATCCCATCTTTGACCAGATATGTCAGATTAAAGGGGACATCCAAAAAATCCCCATAATGTTGGTGGGGAACAAAAGTGATGACACGCAGAGGGAGCTGGAGGCCAGCGAGGGGCAAGCTCTGGCCAGCAAGTGGAAGTGTGCTTTCATGGAGACATCGGCCAAAATGAACTACAACGTGCAGGAGCTGTTCCAGGAGCTCCTGAATCTGGAGCAGAGGAGAACTATCAGTCTCCAGGTGGACGGAAAGAAATCCAAGCAGCAGAAGAAGAAAGATAAACTGCAAGGCAAGTGCTCTGTTATGTGACTGCCTTTGGCTCTACTCGCTGCACAGTGTAGTCGGAGCGTGGATTCCCATGGAAAACACATTTCTGCCGGATGATTTGGAGGGATCCATGCCTTACAGAGCTGTTGCTTTTCTCTAAAACCCCCACTGGATTATTTTACATGTTGGTTTTAAAGAGGATGCCTTCTGCATGTTTATTTTTTTAAACCAATAAATGTTCCATGTTAACAATTACCTCTGACTAGAAGTTTTTAATGCAAGAAGTTTTACAGAGGAGAAGAATGTCTGTCAGAGCAAACATCTCTATTCCTGTGAGTACACGCCAGTTTTTAAATATCTCCAGCCTCTTAGCTTGAAGGAAATCATCTTTAATATGTAGACTTCAAAAACTGTTTTCAGTAATCTGTTGACCAGAGAAAATCTCTAGCAAAGTGAGGCATCTGCACTAAAAATGAACATTTATGTGGCTCTGACTGCTTAAATTTTTGACTGACAGACCAAAGCTGCAGTTTTTCCATGGTAGAAATTAGGATTTCCCATGTGCTGTGCAGTTCCTGAGACTCCTGCAGTTCTGGGAGTTACAGCTTTACCAGGTTATAATCAGGCTGTTTGCCTTTTTTTCCCACTGTTCTCTGACTTACCCTGTTCTCTGAGGCAGGACGTTCCACGTGCTCTGGCTCCAAATCCAGGGGTGATTCTTGGTGTCCTTAAGCAAGAGCTGCCTCCCTGATGAAGGTAACTGTGGTTGTAAATACTTGACTGATGGTTGGGCAAGGATAGGGAATTGCCAAGATAACCATCACTTGTTTTCAGTCCGAGGCTCCTTTTCTAGTCTTCCTGGAATTCTTAGATATTTGTTTTCCCCTCTTTATTCCATCCAAGTTACCCGGGTTTAGGTGAGACTTGAGACAAGTCAGTTCGGGTAACACTGCCTGGGGAAGAAACCTGGAAGGTGCATGTTTCAAGGAAACTCCTCTCTGATGGGAGCTTTTACCAGACATTTTCCACATATGAAAGGATTGGAGGCATGGGCTTAGTCCGTCTCTTATCTCACTCCCCCAGTCTGGGTTTTTTGGCTGTTGTTAAAAAGAGCTGACCTTGGTAAGTCATCTGCAGTGCATGGTTGAGAGTTCAAGAAAATAAATGCGAGTATTCGCTATCAGGCTCTGCCGTGGATCTTACTCCTTCCTGGAGAGGGCTGTCCATCCTGGGTACAGCTGCCCAGGGCTGGAGTCCCCATCCCTGGAGGGATTTAAAAGCCACATGGATGTGGCACTTGGAAACAGGGATCAGTGGTGGCCTTGGCAGTGCTGGGGGAAAGCTTGCACTCAGTGGTCTGAGAGGGCTTCTCCAGCCTAAACCATTCCATAATTTTGTCTCCTACTTTGGGTGAATATTAGCCCTACTTTGGGTGTGTAGTAGCCTGAGAAGACTGTAAGACCTCAGCGTTGGTCTGTAAATTTCATTTTTACACAGCAAAAAGGGTCTTGATGCAGGAGACTGAGAAGAGAGGAATTGCATCTTTTTATAGCACTTTTCTAGTAAAGTGATTTTATTGTTGAAGATGAACACAGTATGGAACAGAAGGTGCTGAAGAGTGCACCCAGGGGTTTCAGGCCCTTAGTTTGAAAGTCTTCATGTCTAGTTTGAGCCAAGGGGAGGCTGCAAGAAAGATGGGGAGAGACTTTTTGCAAGGGCACAGAGTGCCAGGACAAGGGGGAATGACTTCCCACTGCCAGAGGGCAGGGTTAGATGGGATATTGGGAAGAAATTCTTGGCTGTGACGGTGATGAGGCCCTGGCACAGATTGTCCAGAGGAGCTGTGGCTACCCCATCCCTGGAAGTGTCCAAGGCCAGGTTGGAGAGGGCTTGAAGCAACCTGGTCTAGTGGAAGGTGTTCCTGCCCATGGCAGGGGATGGAACTGGATGGGCTTTAATGTCCCTCCCAACTCAAACCATTCAGGGATTCTGTGATTCTCTTAATCACTGCTGGGTTTCAGTGTAAGGTGATGGAGAAGGGCCTTTTCTCCCAGCTCTCATTTGTTCCTGTTGCAGACTAATGCACAAAGCCATGAAGTTTGTATCCATGTGAGTATCTCACATATTTGAACAACTCTTAAAATTGGTGGTGGTGCCTGGTGCTCTCATCTCCTGTGTCTGTTCCTGAGCTGCTTTCCCAGTCTCCTCAGGCTGTCTCTACACACACATAGGGTCAGTTGGCTCTGTGTGTGCCCAGGCAGTTTGTCCCAGTTCCAGCTGGAGCCCTCACACCATTTGTGTCAGCAGAAAATCTTATTCATTGTGATTTCAGAAAACCACGGAAGTTCTGCAGAAGGGTTTGGAGCTGGCAGAAGGTTGAAGGTTGTGCTTACTTGCCAACATCGGCACAAAGGCTCTGCTTCTGATTTTCCCTATTGGAGAAGGCACCCCACAAGCTCCCAGTGCAGGACCTGTGGTTCTGGCAAAGTTATGCAAAGCTCCCTGTGAGTCGTTTTGTTATTATTACAAAAATGATTTCAGTTCCATTGCAGCCTTCGAAACCCCTCGAAGACATTTTCTGTCTAAGCCTTTTTAAAATGTCAGGAGACCTAATAATGTCTCTACAACTCCCACTGCCTTCATGGAGATGCCTGTGCTAAGGATCTGCAATTACTCACCGAGCCAGGATGTTCTGGAATGTGTCATTATCGCTGTGGTATTCCCTGTGCGGGGTGTGGAGATCTCCGAGGGCTGGGATCTGTCAGAGCAGAGGGACAACTCATGGGAACAAAATAGGTTCAGTCCCACCTGCACCTGGGAGGAACTCTGAGGGAGCTGGGAGGGCTCAGCCTGGAGAAAAGGAGGCTCAGGGGGGACCTTCTGGCTCTCTGCAACTCCCTGATAGGAGGGTGGAGCCAGGGGTGGTCGGACACTGCTCCCAGGGAACAAGGGACAGGGCGAGAGGAAACAGCCTCAAGTTGCGCTAGGGGAGGTTTAGTTTTTATATTGGGGAAAATTCCTTCATGGAAAGGGTTGTCCAGCCGTGGCACACCTACCCAGGACAGTGTTGGAGTCCCATCCCTGGGGGGATTTAAAAGCCACGTGGATGTGGCACTTGGGGACATGGGTCAGTGGTGGCCTTGGCAGTGCTGGGAATGGTTGGACTTGATGTTGGAGGGCTTTTCTAGCCTGAATGATTCCATTGTTCAAAGCTGCCTTTGGTGGCCATGGGAGGAGGTTCCATAGGACATGTGGCCATGGAGAGGCCAGGGTGGAGGTGCTGGGGTGCTCCTGGGAGCATCCCAGTTTAGGAACCTAGACCAGATGGGGAACAAGTAACACCTGCTGTGGCTGCCCTTCATGCTCTATAAATAAACCATGTCTTGGGTGTGCCAGCTCAATTTGATTGTAAATTAAAAGCATGTCAATAAATATGTAATTGTGTTTCGATATAAACTGAACCAATCTGGGGTTGTGTGTGTGTCTGTGTGTGTGTAATCTCTTGTTCTTACAAGAAGGGAAATTTATTTTATTGGAGTGGATGCTGCTGGGATGCTGGGCTTTGTAGTGTGAGGAGTATATGTTGGAAGGAAATGCCCCCACCTTATTTGAATAAGTGCAGTTTAAAAAAGTGAACAGATTTTTGGTTTGTTTTTTTAAGTAGATTTGATGAAAGACATCGACATGAAATCATCTGTCAGCAGTGAAGAAGCGGTTCTGCTCTCTGATGGAGCTGGTCTGGCCTTGCACTACAGGTGTTGGTCTTACCATTTTCCAGCACTGTGCTTTTCCAGGAGCTGGTGATAACATCTTTTTTATGGAGCTATTTATGCATCCTGTAAACCCTTCAGCTTGCAGACATGCCCTGACACTGCTCATGCCTGGTGAGCAGGACAGGAACTCACTAATTCTCAAGTTGTTTTTCTCCATTTTTTCCCCCCTCATTCCCCGTCATTCAATCAAGTTTTGTTCAACCCCAGACCTTGCTGGTTTTCTGAAAGGCTCTTCATGAGGTCAGATGTGGAGAGACAAGGTTATGGAAGATGCTGGCACAACTTGTTGAGTTGCTGTTAATGCCTCCATAACATTTTTTTGGGATAAACACATTTTGTATGTGTTTATCTACTATCAGCTATTGTATGATCATATGAATATTTAGATTAGAAGTTGTCAAATCAGAAGTATTCTAATGGACAAAAATAATAGCACTGCAGGCCTGATTTTTTCTGAAGGAATAATAACACCTTTAATTTTAAAGCTGTTCCAAGACTTCCTCTCTGCAATCCTGAAGTTCAAATATTTCTCAATTAATACCTGTTATTTCCATGCAGCACTTGTTGACTGGCTTGAGGCATCTTCCTTCCTGAGTCCAACCAAGAAAATCAGTGTCAAGAGAAAGCACCGGGGAGGAGAATCACAAACAGCTTTTCTTGCAAGAGAAAAATGTGAGCAGTAGCTAGAGTGTCCACCCACACATCTATTTTAAAAACAAGAAGACAGAATATTGCTATATTCCAATTCCTCTTCCCAGAGCAAAGCAGGCACACGATTAATAGAACAAACAGCTCAGAATAATAAGCAATATTGCTTTATATGCAGGGTCCACAGCCTTGAGGTGCCCAGCATGCTCTGGAAGAGTAAAAGCTCATCTTAATCATTGCCTGTCATCCTGTGCAGTGTTCTGTGGCCTAAATTAGGGACATCAAAAGCTTCTAAGAGCTAATGAAAATTCTAAAGAGGCTCAAAATGAACGGCATGTAGCAGCCTCCTTGTTAATCATGCTGCTCCGTGCCAGGTTAGACCTGCCAGTCCTAATTGTTTCCTTTCTTTCCCCTTTGGGAAAAATGATGAGATGTAGACGAGTGGAGGAAGGAGGGGAAGGCCCCAGTGCCAGCCCTGCCATGGCTCACTTGGTTTTGTTCTGTGTGAGGCCTTTACTAAGGATGATAAAACACTGGCACAGGTTGCCCAGAGAAGCTGTGGCTGTCCCATCCCTGGAAGTGTCCAAGGCCAGGTTGGATGGGGCTTGGAGCAACCTGGGATAGTGGAAGGTGTCCCTGTCCATAGCAGGAGGTTGGAATGAGATGAGCTTTAAGGTCCCTCCCAATCCAAACCATTCCAAGACTCTATGATTTTATGTCTGTTGGAGCCCAACTCCTATTTGGCTCCAGTGAGAGTTAAGCACTTGGGACCTCCAAGAACAGCTGCAGGTAGAAGTAGCCTCATTGCTGCTGTGAGTAAATACAGAGAAAAGTGTGTGTGTGTGTGTGTGTGTGTGTGTGTGCACGCGTATACCAAGTTGGGAAAAGTCTCCTACCAGAAGTTATTGGATCCATTATTAATGACTGAAATTTAAACTGTTTAATGTATTTATTATTATTATATGCTATTATCGCACCCGTGATGAGACCCCTGCATCTCACCAGCTGAGCCTGTGATTTCTCCTCCAGCTTAAGGGACACAGTTTTCCTACCCTTGGATAGAGGTGCCCACAGGTACCTCCTGCAGCCCCTTTGGGTGGGAGATGGGGGTAGGACGTGTTCGGGACAAGCAGCGGTGGGACGTAGCCCTGGGGCACCATCACGTCCTGGACACCACGATGGGGAGAGCTGGGCAGCAGAAATCAAAACCCTCTTCTCCCAGGGGAGAACAGACAAAGTTGGTCCCTGAGCAGGGAGGCCTGTGCTGGGCTGTTCCTCTCCTGACTGGGCTCCCGGAGAATCCCTGCTCCCACCCTGCCATGTCTGAACAGGGTGGGAATCAGTCAGAGCACCACGCTGGAGCCTCTGGTCCAGGGAGCAGCAGGAGCTTTCCTTTTATATCTCAGTGATGCATTTGTGCCTTTCAGGCTAAAAATGTCTAAGGATGGAGATACAAAGACTCTTCTCTCCTATGTTATGGTTTTCCTTTATTCCTACGTGTCTTCTTCCAAGCCCTGTATCCATTATCTGCCTCAGGCTGCCTGTGGGCGCCTGGCTGGCGAGGGATTAGCAGCTCACACACAGGCAGTGAAAATCCCTCCTTGGAGGGAAATATCCATCCATCACATAAAGTCCCTGGACCGAGACCAAGATCTCATCTGGGGTGAGGGCGTTGAAAAGGTCTCTTCAGCCATGCCGGCTGCCCACATCCTCCTGACTGCTCGGAGCATCCCTGGCAGGGGATGGAGCAGATCCCCATCCCTTCTACTGTCTCCTCCAGGGACAGCAGGTGAGTCACTTCATATCCCTGTGCAGCAGTTCTGCCACAGAAAAACACATCCTAAGAAATTACTTCGTTTTTCTTTTGGTCGAGGCCAACCGTCTGATTTGAAATACTAGTCTAGGAGAGATCGTGGATAAAGGCAGCACTGACAGAAGGAAGCACTGAGCTTCAGTAAGGAAAAGCACCAAGCACGTTCAAAAAAAAGAGGGAAAAAAATACCAGGATTGTAGTAGTGAGAAGTTACCCAGGCACCCCAAGCACTGGTGGTGGGAGGGCTCTGCAATACACTTACCAAGTTGCTACAAGCACCACTATTATGGAAGCCCTCCAGCAAATGCCGTGTAATAATTTAATTCATGCTGTAGCACGGAGTGTTTCTGACACTGGTACAATGCCTGAAAATGTGGCTGTTTAAGGCTTTTTCCACCCTGCTGTCACCCAAGACAGGCCCAGCATGAGCCCAACCATAACCTGTGACACGACAGCTCTTGTGGAGACCTCGCCGGGTGTTCCTGCACCTTCAGAGCACAGGCTGCCAGCTGAGGGAGAGCACAAAGGCTCCCAGACCCAGACCCTGCTTATTAATGTGTCGACACCCAGGGAGCCACAGAGCTCGGCCTTCCCCCACAGCAACAGGAACCGGACTCAACTGCCAGGCAGTGGAGCTCATGGCCCAAGGTTGGTGGGCCCTGAGGACAGGGAGGGCACACGCCCAGCCCAATCCCTGTGGAAGACCAGGGACCCCATGGGATACCCGCCTGAGTACAGGGGGTCCCTCCAACTTCCCGCCAAGCAGGGGGGACACACAAAGACCCACGTACGGGGCCGCCCCCCAAGGCCCGGCACTCCCAACAATGGCCTCGTGGCCTCAGGCAGGGGGGGACAGGGCCCCAGCCCTGGGGACAGGGGGGCACACACTGGCACGTCACCAGCAGGACAGGCAGCCCCACAGCACAGGCAAACACTCAGGCCCTGGCTACAGGTGGGTTACAGTGCCCACACCACCACTAAGGGGCTTCGCTCCATCCTCAGGAAGAAGGGGCAAGGCCAGACCCTGTCTCCACCCATGGGTTTAGAGGGCACCCCCATGCTGCTGCACAGAGCCCCTCTCTGCCTCCTGGAAGGTCTAAGCTACACTACCCTCATTTCTACAGGGGCTAAAGGACAAGCCCACTTGCTCACTCACACTGACAAAGACAAGGACGAAGATACAAAGGGGGAAAGAACGTCCCAGAAGAGGGAGCAAGCTCTGTGCAGCCAATGTGTGGGGAGCCATCCCTACTGCTGAGCAGGAGAGCAGAGCCTCAGACCCACCCCCGGGCTGCACAGGGGCCTCAACACGCTGAGGGGCTTCGTGGCTGGCCGAAGCACAAAGGCTGTGGCACACCCTGACTGCAGGGTGTCATTCTGGGCAGGGGCCGCCAGCATGCACAAAAGTGCCAAGGGAAAATAACCTACCCTGCTTACAGGGTGGGCTGGGGGTCAGGAGAGCTCCATTTCCCCCCTCAGGTGCAGAAACGGGGGCTCTCACTCTCCTTACAGGGTTCCCCCTCTCTCCGGGCAGCCAAAGGAGCGCCATGGCCGAAGGCCAGCAAAGCAAAGCAAAGACCCAGCCCTGCTTACAGGGAGGTCGCCCAGCGCAAAGCCAGCCGGGGCAGCCTGAAGGTGCCCACCGGACTCCTGGGGTGGAGAGCAAAAATTGTTCTCTGTCTCCTGGGAACACAGGAGGTTTGTAACTCTAAACCTCGTTATGCAGGAAATAACGAGGGTTCCTGGAGACAGGTGGGCAGGAGGACACCCTGGGTACTGCTCTGAGTCCCACTGATGTAGGCTGTTGGCAGTACCTCACCTTCAGCCAGTGCTCACACGCTGTGCTGTGGGGTAAGGGCAGCAAAATAAATGAATTAATTAATAAAAGTGTTTTTCCAATTTTATCAGAGAATTCCAGACTGGTTTGGGTTGGAAGGGACCTTAAAGCCCATCCAGTCCCACCCCCTGCCATAGGCAGGGACACCTTCCACTATCCCAGGTTGCTCCAAGCCCTCTCCAATCTGGCACCTCCAGGGATGGGACAGCCACAGCTTCTCTGGGCAACCTGTGCCAGGGCCTCACCACCCTCACAGGGAAGGATTTCTTTCTAATGTTTAAGAGTGAATGCTCTGATCTAGGCTACTACTACACGCTAATGATAATGTTTAACATTTATATATATGTGTTTGGAGGAGAAAGGAAAACCTGTGGTTGAATCACTGAGATCTGAAGAACTTGGTCCTGCCTTCAGACGAGGGTGAGGCAGCCACTGAGTAAATGTCTGCGACAGAAAAAAAGGAAGGAAAACCAAGGGATCTCATCATGCTGAGTCTGAGTCCAGGACCTGCTAAAAAGGAAAATAAATGTCTAATAGAGAAAATACAAAGTTCAAACTAGTGTGCCCAGTGGGCCCACCCAGTGTTCCCTGTCTATGCTCCAGTGCACACTCCAGTTCACCCAATGTGTCCTCCCAGTGTGTCCTGCGCACACTCTGTGGCAAACTGGCTGGGACTGGAAGGGAGCCCGAACAAACTCCTGGGAATCCCTCAACAAGCTCCTGGGAATCCTTGACAAGCTCCTGCCTGGGTCAGGGCTGCTCCCCCAGGAGGGCTGCACTGTGAGGCCACAGGTAGTTAATTAACTCAGCTTAATTAAGCTCACGATTAGAAGTGAATGATGGGAAGCTGCTGCTTTAGCCCACGAGAGGGCAATGCTTCCCGCCCAGTTGGTGGCCACGCTTGGGAAAAGTGGCTTTCTCTGTTTTTAATTAGGAATTGCAAGAGGAATTTCTTCTCTTTGGACAGTTTTCCTGAAGGTTTGGGTTGGTTGTTTTCTCACTGGGGTGTAATGCCTGACAACATCCTCCTGTGCATCCCTATGTTACCGGCTGGAACGCGGGAGATACACAATAAAGAGGAGATGAACAGGCTGGTAATCCCATCTTCTCTCCCATACAACCTGCCTGCGGAGCCAGGCTGGTGGCCGGGGGGACCTGGCTGTGCCAGGCACAGCAACAACACAGCTGTGGTGATGTTGGACGAAGGATGGCCATGGAAGAAAGTGAGGAAGGGTTTTCCTGGTACTCTCAGTGCTGCTGCAGGACAGGGATGCTCTGTCAGAGCACACTCAGGCTGGAGTGATGGGTACAACAGCTTCCCCAATTTAGTTTATTTTGGAAGGGACCTTAAAGTTCATCCAGGTCCACCCCCTGCCATGGGCAGGGACACCTTCCACTATCCCAGGTTGCTCCAAGCCCTGTCCAACCTGGCCTGGGCCACTTCCAGGGATGGGGCAGCCACAGCTTCTCTGGGCAACCTGTGCCAGTGTTTTTCCACCCTCATTTTCCAACTCTTCTCCCTCCTGCAGCTCCCAGGAACCTGTATTTAAATTTTAATCCACGCCCTCCCCTCCCTCTGGAGACAAATGTATTCCCAAGTGACTCCAGGATCAAAGCCCCACAAGCCGAGGCACGCCAGGCCCGTTTGGGCAGCAGACAAGCCCTTGCAGATGCCAGCCCTGCTCCTACCTCCTAAAATTCCCAGGATAGGGGGAACAGCGATGCTCCAACCGCTCCACCACCAGGGATTCTCCACCATCGCTCCAGTCCCTCGCGCACACACTTTCCCTACCTCAACCCCTTCCCAAACACCACTGGCACGCCTGAATCCACCTTGGAACAAGATAAACCGGTTTGGAATACCGCCTCGATTAGGGGTACACGAGGCGCGCTCGCCCTCCAGGTGGCCACGCCCACCATTCTCCCGGCCCCGCCCCATTGGGGCGGGCCAGGGCCGGGCCGGAGTGGGCGGGTCCGTGGGTGGGTGTGGGCGGGGCCTCGCCGTGATGGGCGGGGCTTCCGCGCCCGCTGCCGTCGCCCGTGGAGACACCGGGAGCGGCGGTGGGTGAGTACCGGGATACCGGGACAGAGGGGGTTCCCGCCGGGAATATCGAGCTCTGCCGCCGTGGACGGGCTGCGTGGAGCCGGCGGAGCAGCGGGAAGCGGCGGCCCGACCCCTGTTTTGGTGCTGGGCCTGGCGGGGCAGGCTGGGCCCGAGCGGTGCCTGAGTGTTTTTAAGGTTTTTTTGTTTGGTTGATTTTTATGTTCCCCCCCCCCTTCCCTCTGTCCAGAGGGGAATTCCCGGTGGGAGGCAGCGCGCAGTTGTGCTGTAGTTCAACAAGTTGCTTGCGGTTCCGGAACGGGTCGAAATATGCTTAATTATGTAAAACCGAATCTGCTTAATTATGTAAAAATAGTACTAAAATAGGCGTTTTTCTCGAGGACGGCGTCGCACGGCCTTCCTGCCTCCTTCCCGCCTCCTTCCCTCCATCCAGCCCTTCCCCATGGCACTGATGGATACCCAGAGCTGGCAGCTCCAACTGTACCAGAGCAGCCACAGCTTTCAGATAAATCCTTTAAATTTTACCAATTTTAGTATTCCCAGCCGTCAGGTGATGAGTTTTCCTTGGAATCACAGAGCTCTGCTTGACGGAGGAAGTTTCCCACCTGTGGGGAGTTGTGGGATGAGTGTGGGAAGGAGGTTAATTAGTGGGAAGCGTCATTAGTCGAGGAGGTTTCGTGTTGATACTGAGATTACACACCCAGTTGCAGTAACAAGTTTACTGAGAATCAGGGAATTGCAGAATCTCCTCAGCTGGAAGGGACCCTCACAGATCATTGAGTCCAGCTCCTGGAACTTTAGTAACTTTTAAATTGCAATACTTTGTTCCAAGCTTAAATTCTTTACTTTTTGGGGGGGAGGAAAGGGTTTTTTGAGAGGATATTGTGATTTTAGCCTGGTGCTTTTGGGAAGGCGGAGCCAGCAGGAATGGCTGAAGCTGCGTCAAGGGGGAATATCAGGGAAAGGTTCTTCCCCCACAGGGTGGTCGGGCACTGAACAGGCTCCCCAGGGCATCGGTCACAGCACCAAGGCTGCCAGAGCTCAAGGAGCATTTGGACAATGCTCTCAGGGAGAGGATGGGATCGTTGGGGTGTCCTGGGCAGGCCAGGGGTCGGACTGGATAGTCCTTGTGGGTCCCTTCCAACTCAGTATATTCCATGATTTGATTAGTGTGGCACCTCAAATGGAATTCACAGCGATTTGCCAGGGGATTATCTGGTGTTTTTATTAGCTTAGAGGTCACAGCATCAGGGACATGTTACTTGTTTGTGTTTATCTGGGCTGTAAATTGGGTTAGAAATACATTTCTGTGAGTAAAGGATGAGTAGTGGACAGTGGGAGGATTTGATGTTTGATGGTACTCCAGTGCCACTAAATGAGATTGAGGGATTAGTATGAAGTTAATGACTTCTCAATCCCGTATTTCATCCCGGCATGGGATGGACTGCCAGATATCTTTAATCAAGGACTAAAGCAACAATAAACTCCAGAGAGAGCAATGGATGAGGTCTGGTGCTGGGGGTGAGCTTGTTTCCTAATCACTCAGCCAATGGATGATTTTTCCTTTAAAAACAAACCTCTCCTGTCATTCTGGAGGAGTTTCTTGGGCTCTCAGACAGCAGAGCCACTTCCAGCATCTCTCATCTCTTGATGGTGTTAAATCCAAATATTGAGTTGTGCTGTAGGTTTCAGATACTTCTCTTATTTCAAATATAATGTCTCTTTGGCTATATAGTAACTTTTTAAATGAATACTAAAAGTTCTTGATTTCCTAGGCTCTGTTCCTCATAAGACTTGGAATATTTGAGCCAGATTCACAACAAGTTCTCTGTAGCAAGGCCTGGGATGAATTATGGAATCCCAGAATGATTTGGGTTGGAAGGGACCTTAAAGCTCATCCAGTCCCACCCCCTGCCATGAGCAGGGACACCTTCCACCAAACCAGGTTGCTCTAATCCCTGTCCAACCTGGCCTTGGACACTTCCAGGCATCCACATCCACAGCTTCTCTGGGCAACCTGTGCCAGGGCCTCACCACCCTCCCAGGGAAAGATTTCCTCCCAGTATCCCATCTGACCCTGCCCTCTGGCACTGGGAAGCCATTCCCACTTATCCTGGCACTATCTGCCCCTTTAAGAAGTCCTTGTCACTCCTTTCTATATGGCTCTGCTTTCCCTGCAAATGTTGCTGGAATGTTGAGTGGAAGATGCTGAACACAACGGCTCTGCATGGTGGGAATGTCCTTCCTCCCCAGACACAGCTTCCCAAATCCCAATTCATAACCCTCTGATAGAATCTGTTGCAAAAGCAAGTCCAAATTGCTCCAGAAATCCATGGTACAGCCCCATAAATCCTCCCCTCAGCCCTTTCCCTTTGTCCCCTTTGCCAGAGCAGAGATCATTGCA